CCCGGACCTCGGATGGTTGACCCATCTAGTTATACGGATATAAGATGAAGAAGGGGCAAAATTGTTAACACGCAAAAATATCGACGATCTCTCCAAAGCCAGTGAAAATAATAAAAATAGAAGGGGTACATATGTGGCATGCAATATGTGGGCGCAACTCGACATGAAGATTTAGTTCAGTGACAAGTATGAAAAGTCAATACATGAAGAAACAGAGGAGTGCGGGATTAAGAGAAAAGAAGAAAAGTCACAACCGATAGTCGCCTCGACTGAGGGACTCGGAAAGAAAAGAGATAGGAAACAAGGGCACTAACCCTTAGACGTTTCTGAGAAAAAGCCTATAGGAGTCGCCTCGACTGAGGAACTTGGCGAGAAAAGAAAGAAACGACGGGGCAGTGACCCTAAACAGTTTCTAAGTTAGAAAAAGCATAAAGGGTCGCCTCGAATGAGGGACTCGATGAGAAGAAATAGGAAACAAGGGCACTGACCCTTAGACGTTTCCGAAAAAAATCCTAAAGAGTCGCCTCGACTGAGGGACTCGGCGAGAAAAGAAAGAAACGACGGGGCACTGACCCTATACAGTTTCTAAGTTAGAAAAAGCCTAAAGGGTCGCCTCGACTGAGAGACTCGGCGAGAAGAGATAGGAAACAAGTGCATTGACCCTTAGACGTTTCCGAGAAAAAACCTACAAGAGTCGCCTCGACTGAGGGACTCGGTGAGAAAAGAAAGAAACGACGGGGCACTGACCCTAAACAGTTTCTAAGTTAGAAAAAGCCTAAAGGGTCGCCTCGACTGAGGGACTCGGCGAGAAGAGATAGGAAACAAGGGCACTGACCCTTAGACATTTCCGAGAAAAAGCCTACAGGAGTCGCCTCGATTGAGGGACTCGGCGAGTAAAGAAAGAAATGACGGGGCACTGACCCTAAACAGTTTCTAAGTTAGAAAAAGCTTAAAGGGTCGCCTCGACTGAGGGACTAGGCGAGAAGAGATAGGAAACAAGGGCACTGACCCTTAGAAGTTTCTGAGAAAAAGCCTACAGGAGTCGCCTCGACTGAGGGACTCGGCGAGAAAAGATAGAAACGATGGGGCACTGACCCTAAATAGTTTCTAAGATAGAAAAAGCCTATAGGGGTTGCCTCGACTGAGGGACTCAGCAAGAAAAGAGAAAAGGAGCAAGGACACCGACCCTTAGACATTTCCCAGAGGGAAAAGAAACTACCACCGAAGAGTCGCCTCGACTGAGGGACTCAGAGAACAAAGAAGGAATCGAGGGTCCGAACCCTTAGAAGTTTATTAGAGAAAGAAAAAGTTATAGCCGAGATTCACTTCGACGGCTAAAGAAAAAAAGGGCTTGAAGCCGAAGGCTTACATCCACTGAAGCAGTCGGTCATATGGCAAACGAAGAGAAGTCGGGAGGATGGAGTCGTTTGGAATCTTGAATAAAGAGTTGGCAAAAATCGAGGCGGCTAATAAAGGGAATTTTGAGGCGAGACAATATACTTTCCCATGCCCTGCTGAGTGCGAGACATAGAAAAGTGAGGGACTAGTTGATGGGGTGTGAACCCCGTGGGCTCGGGACCCAAGAAGAAAAGAGATCAAGCCCAGAAGAAGAAGGGAAGCCCAAGAAGAAAATTGAGCAAGCCCAAGAATAGATGTGGGCCAAACCGAGGGGTCGGCTCGACCCAGAGGTCGGCACGGGTGGAAGGTCGGCCTAAACTAGCCGTTAACCCATATTAATCTCCTATTTACTACCCTATATATCTACCCCACCATTCCTAACCACCCAATTATTACCCTACTTACCAACTAGCCGTTAGCCTCCTTATCAACTAACTTAATACCCATAACCCCTTAATTATCACCCATCAATACCCTACTAAATTGTCCAACATACACTATTTGGTTGGCTAGCTATAAGAAGGGATGAGCACAAGGGAAAATGGGGGCCATTCATTCATCTACATGTGGGAGGACTCTCCCAAGTACTATCTTACCACCCAATATTCTTTCATCCCCAAGAAGACTCCATCACTCTCCCAAAGAGAATGTACTCTTCCACAACCACTCTCCACTCATCTAAGCAAGAAGACCACATGAAGAAGACTCCATATGAGAAGACTCCACCACTCTTCCACGCATGAAGAAGACTCCCTCTCAATGTACAAAGTATAGTAGCTCTATCTCTACACAACATCATATACACAAAATAGCCCTACAATATGTACAAGGACACCTCCAAAATACATAGTGAATTTAGGCTTGGCACCGCCCAAAAAGGCCCGTGGTTTTCCTTTCGGTTTCCACGTACAAAAGCATTGAGTTATATTGTTTCTACTTATTTTTCTATAAGCCGCATTGTGAAAGGTGAATCCACCAACTAAGGTTGTGTTGGACCTCCCTGGGCCCAAAAACCCTAAAACCAACACTTTTCATCAACAATAATGAAATCATTGATTTTTTTTTTTTTAATTTACATTCGTTGTTGAGACAAATTATTTTGAGAGTTTGTCAATGACAATTGTTACAATCACTGTCAATAGAGGATGATAATAAATAATTCAAAATATATAGTTATAATAGATATTGTTATAATGATATAGTAAAAATTAACTTACAAATTTCTTTGAAAGTTTTCATGCATTGATAAAATTCTTATGTGTAAACTTGTTCAATTGGAGCCAGTGGGATGTCAACATTGTCAATTCTTTGGAAAATGATCCTACTGTGACACCCCAAAAATCCACATTTCAATCCATGAATTAATTGAGTAATTAATTCTATATCTTTTGAGAAATTGATTCCTAAAATCCTGATTTTTAATACTCAAGGACTAGAATTTGACTAGTCAACCTTTAAGTTGTGTTGTACCTTGTGCTTTGAGGGGAGTTCCCTTGTTCCTTACACTTTCTAAGGGTTAGTAAGGGTATCCTTGTTTTTTCACCAAGAGTTAGTATTGTAACCTAACCTAGAAGACTTCTTCATTTCATTCTTTACAATTCCTAGAAAAATATCTCTACCTTCTCTCTAGAAAAGAAGTGTAGCTTATTCTTCAAGCCAAGTTGAGACCCTTTTCAAGATTCCAAGTTTTGCTTCCAAGATTCAACCTTTCACCTATTTGGGCATCTAGGAGGGTAAGATCTAAGCTTGTCTTGTGTTTTTGGTTCCATCTTAGTTGTCTTTTTCTTAAAGGTAGGATCTTTATGATCTTTTGGTTTGATCTTGAAGTGGGTTTGAGAAGTGAGCCTAGTGGAGAGCTTGTTGTGGTGTAAAGTGAAGTCTTTTGGTCTTCAAAAGGTAACCCATGCTCTACAAAACCTATTTTGCTTACCTATATGTGATTTCTTGGATTCTACTTGTGTTTTGCTATGAAATGTGAGGGTTTATGCATTTATCTTGTGATATTGCATATCTAGAGCTTGTGTTTAGGATTCCTTTGTGCCATTGCTTGGCATTTTCCATGGTTCAAGTCATTTTGTTGTATTGGGTGAGATTTGGCATGTTTTGGACTTGAATTTGTGTTTGGAGAAGAAAATCCCCGAAGGGATTATTTTGCCCAGGAGTATGTACCCGCGGGCGGAACGGCGGGGAGAGCCCTACCCGCCGCCCACCCGCAAGTACATAGGCTTGTGGGTAGTGTACCCGCGGGCAGAACCACGGGTAGGGGCCTACCCGTGGGTCCACCCGCGGGGAACACGATGGTGTTCGTTCGGGATTTGTTCCCCGTGATTTGTTTGTCTTGGTATTTGGTCTTTTGGCTTCCCGATGTTCTTTTGTGGAACTATTTGAGTGTCTTCTTGATGTTTCGTAGGTCTAGAACTATATGGTAGGTATCTATGTAGGACTTTGGTGTCTTGAATCGTGCTAAGTGTTCAACATTGTGTTTTGTTGGACCAAGAGGTGTCTTGTGTGTTCCTCGGAACTATCTTGAGTTTCCCCGTTATTAAGAATGCTAGTTCGTTGTCTTAATACTAGCGTGTGTGTGGTTTGTACCTTCCGTTTGGTTGATGATAACTTGTGTTATTCATCGTTGTTGTTGTTGGGCTGTGACCCGTTCCTTGATTGAGTATGTTTCATACCTTCATTGCAATCCTTTGATTGATTCCTGTTGAGGTGTGGTGTGTGTGACTTTACCTGGATTGCACGATTAGTGGTATGGGACACTAGTCACCAAGGTATTGCAGCGGTCCTCGTGGTGGCCGTGACGTGATTATGAAGTGTGACCTGTGTGTCAGGTTCACGTATTTCTTGGGTAAGGCGTGTGTCGCCGAGGCGTGTGTCGCCATGTGTGTGAAATTGGTGGTTTTGTTGGTGGTCTGTTGGTGGGGACGACGGTCCCAGGAGGGAAAAGGTTGGACTAAGAAGTACAGGGGTTCCTGGAGGTAATGGTTGGAAAGAAGATACAAGGTTGGGGGTAGCCATAAGGTTGGAACAGGGCATAAGGCAGGCATATCAACTCGTGATGGGTGATGTTGCGAGGGCTTGTAAAGCCGGGGTTGTGTGAGCTTCTCTCGTGATATGTGTAGTCACGGAGGCTTGTGTTGTTTGGCATGTGTTGCCGTTGGGTGAGACTTTATCCTTGCGTGTGGTTAACCTTTGTGGTTTGGGATGTGTTCCCGGTGTTATCTTTGTGAGTGGTGAGTCTTGTGTTAACTATTGATCTTGACTTTTGACTTATATACTTATGTATTCCGTTTCGAAAATGGTTTTGTGGCTTATATCTATCTATATATGATACTTAACAGTATTGGTGGGTTACCAGCATTATTCGCTGACCGGGCGTCGTCCCGATGTTTATCTTTGTATCTTTCAGGTGATGTTTAGACGAGCGCGATGTCTAGAGCCTGGTAGCTTAGCTCCTTTACCTTTGTGGTTTTTGTGGCCTGTGCGCCAATGTAATTAGATAGACTGATGTTTTGGGATAGTTGTATACACTTGCAGATTGTTCGCCTTAGCGTGTACCGAGTTCGGTAGACGTGGCATAACACCTCGTTGGATTTCTTTTTATCCAGTTTCTGTTTTATCTTCCGCTGTGCTAGTTTTGTTGTTTAATCTACATGTGTTAGGGCTTTTATATAGGCCTTGTTTGGGGGTGTTACACCTACCGTTTTAGAGTTCAGGTGTAATTGTATTTATGATCAACAACTTTGTAGTTAGGTCGCGCAGGTCTGACAATGATGTAAGAACAATTTTGTCTGATAAAAAAATAATAGTATAATATTTATAAAGTAATGTACAATTATAAAAATACATACAAAAAATATTAATACCATAACGACCTAAATCATACCAATAATGCAAAAATATAATTAAAATATTATGTTTTGTTCTGATCTAAATAATCAAAAGAAGATTAATTATATGAAAAAAAAAACTAAACATAAATTTTATTTTTAAATGCATAAAAATCAAATGATTTTTAAAGTTCATGATTTATAATCTTTTATGCTTAACTTAGAATGTTATGTATTTAGTCGGACTAATTATTTGACCAAAGTTTATGTTAAATTTTATATTATATATATTTTAATACATTTTAACATATTCGTAGTATATGTTTACCAATTATTCCAACTATAACTGGGATGAGGTTCGAACCTAAGACTTTTCTTTTAGAAATTAATGAGTAAGTTAAAAATAATAAATAGTTATCGGAATATTCCGTTACTAAAGTTTATACTAACGGAATTTAGGTTATTTAAGGGAAAAAAAATAATATAATAGAGGGTAAATAAGGAAAATCATTAAAAAAAATATTAAAATCAAAATAATATGAACCATTCATTTTAAGAAACAATACTACCGATATTTTTTTTCCAGTTAAAGGCCTAACATTATTGGCTCTTATTATAATTGTAGATGTAGAAATGATAATTTAGTAGCTACAACAAAAAATAATACATATGCATTTCTTTAATTTAGAATTATGTGTTTACAATGTCTTTATTCAAAAAAAAATTATTCATTATCAATAAATTATATAAGAGAAATAATCTCATTAGTTATATTGTCTTTATTTTTCTCCAATATAAAAATTATTTACATTCAAATTCATTCATTGATTATATTCGCTACATTGTCCCTACAATGCCTTTATTAAAAAAAATATTCATTATCAATAAATTAATTAAGAGACATAATTTCATTAGTTATATTGTCTTTATTTTTCTCCAATATAAAAATTCTTTACATTCAAATTCATCAATTGATTATATTCTCTACATTGTCTATTATCTTTTTTTGTGCACTATTTTTTAATTAAATATCAAAGTTATAATACAAAATAATACTATATATTTATTTACCAAGTATTTTATTAATGCTATGAACAAATTAAAATATATATATATATATAATTAAGTCAATCATATTAACTATGTAATTTTGCATATTCTCTTAATCTAGAATAGTCAATTTAATTTCATGCCGACTTGATAGTGGATAGATTAACACACACTAACGATCAGACACTCAATCAGATAGATAATCAGATATAGCGTAATGCGGAAGACTAAGGCAGAAAGTAAAGGCAACACACAGGTTTGTTTACGTAGTTCGATACAGTGTGTATCTATATCTAGGGGATGATCACCGATGCGTCCAATCCACTAACTCAGAATCCAATGTACAAAGGTATAGAAGAACAATCTCACCCAAGTGCCCCACACAAGGTCAGTACCCAGTCTACAAAGGTTTAGTGGATTGTTGAAGTTGAAGAGTCACGCATCCAGAAGTCCACTGAAATTCCTTCAATGGAGAGCTAACTCTGATGCAGACCGCTTCACTGACGCAGTCCCACGTTGTTCCCACAATTGGGTGATCTTCGCGTCCAATTGTTCAAGCAGTGTTGATTCTTCTCAAGTTCATCTTCGTAATCACCATGAACTATAGGTCTTGAGAAGAGGCATACAAACCAGAGATGTTTTTCTTTTTAATATTGAGAGCTGCGACTTCAATCAATGCAACTCTAACTTCTGAAAGTATATGTGTATATATACTTCTTGACTTGGCCTCTCTCCAAATATAACACTGGTTGTAAAAGGTAGGACTTGTGTAGCAAAAGGTCTTGAATCTTTAATGAGATTTAGTTCATACCTCAAGAGATGATTCGCTGATATTCTTTCCAAAATAGTCCATCTCATAAACGCGTATGCTAGCTTTTAGAAACTTTTCTTAACCAGTCCTTTGACGGCTTGACCTAGAGACGCTTCTGATGTCTGTACTGATCAATCAGTCTTCTTTAGTCTTCAAAGACGGTCAGACACCAAGCTAAACCCTATCTTAATTTGCCATAATAATATTGCCAATTATATGTTGGGGTTTTTCTCAAAACATAAAACACTAACAAACTACTTGAGGGATTTGTTGACAAAGAGAGTATTCAAATCACACAACAAATTGAAGTGGGAAACTATCTCGTAATTTCCTTGTTTGGCAATCAGCAGCTTGCGGTTAGCGTTAGCGGATTATATTAGCGGATTTGACCAGCGAATTATATCAATGGTTGGTAAAACGATATTTGAAAAAATTAGAAGTTTAGATTAACATGTAAAATGACTTAAGGTATAATAATAATAATAATAATAATAATAATAATAATAATAATAATAATAATAATAATAATAATAATTGTTTTTAAAAAATAAAAAATAATAATAGTAATTTTATAAAAGAAATAAAATTTTAAAAAATATTAAAAAAATAAAACATAGGGGAGTCGAACGTTCAGCTCCCATTAGTTTTGTCACTTTTCCCACATCGGTGGAAAAAGTGGCATGGGAGCCCTGAGGCTCCTATAAAAGGTGCCTTAAGGCTCCAATTTAAAAATAAGCTTGCCCATCCGTTGATGGGCAAGCAGTGAGCCAGCGAAATTGGCTCTTGTTATTCAAGGAGTCGAAATGATTCTACAGTTTTAACTGTTTTTTTTTTAAATAAAAATATAGAGGTGTTTTGGAAAATTATTCTCAAAAACGCTAAGTGAAAATATTGTAAATTGCAATGTTTGTATTTTTAGTGGCTTGTAACAAATTGTTGCTTCAAACTGTTGAATAACCAAACACTTTCTTTAGCATTTTGATCTTTGGGTTACATCATATTTTCCAATCGTCCAATATATTTCGGTTACATTATAATTAAATTTTTAAATTTTTACTACATCTAAATTCCTTAAATTATGGATTTCTTTATCCATAATAATTTATTCAACAATAATGGTTGAACTAAATGAACACCGAGCAAAACACCTAAAGGATTGGCCCTATTCATCCATTGATCTCCATTGATCTTGTATATATGTGCATTCATTAAATATATTGAACCCTTTGCAACAAAAATACTTGATTACTATTTAAAAAATGTTTAGTAACAATTATCATGAATCTCCTATATTACATTGTATTCATATACTAAATAAACAAATTCGACATTAAATTACTTATGTATGAACTTCTCATATATAATCTTGCATTGATATACTTTCAAATATTTATTTAATTATAAACAGTGGACATTAACTCATTCGCGCAATGCAGCCCTGAAATATTGAGAAAATCATCAATCATCTTTTATTCATCATTCAAATCAATATATATATATATATATATATATATATATATATATATATATATATATATCAAGTACAAAATTTCAGTATAACTACAATACTAAAAAAGATAAATATGTATTATAATAATATAATATCTATAATAATGTCCACATATTTTTTTTTATACAACAAAACGTTTATTATTTTTGGGAGGTAGTAAAATGTTTATTTTTATAAGAATAAATTTTTACTTTTAGTCATTGATTATTGTGATATTGTCATATTTACTACTTTTTTAATGTCATCACATTAAATTCTTTTTTTTTTTTTTGAAAATAAATTATTGGCTTTCATTTGTTTTACACATTTAGTCATCATTTTAATTTTTTTTGCGAAAACCATCATTTTAAATTTTATTATTTCACAATTTAATAAATATGGCTAATTTAAAAGAGACTTGGATGACATGTTGGTGAAAGAGACTTAATGATGAAATTATATGTTATACATCTTTATTAAATGGTGAAATGATAAAATTTTTAAAAGCGAACTAAATGAAAGTAAAAAATACAATGTGACAAAATTAAAAGAACAGAACTACATTTGATAATACAATAATAGGCGATAACTAAAAGTGAAATTTACAATTTGTATAAATTGAAATTTTAACAACGTAAAGATTTAATACAAATATTCCTAAGATAGTCAATACAAATAGTACTTGCAAATTATTTTATTTTATTATATAGAAAAAAAAATTCCATATTGTATTGCTTGATGTTATCCTTAAACTTGGTTAGTCGTATACTCGTATATGTACTTTTTGCTTTGGCCGTTTGGGTTGTTTGTGGAGTTGTGGGGTCAAATAGCAAATGATTTATAGTTTAGGGGTAACATTGTGATTTCAGAAGTACTCAACAAAACCCAGGAAAAGGATGAATGTGGTTTGTAATTTCCAAGTCTACGCCACGCCTTCAAGTTTGAAGGAAAGAAAGAGAGAGAAAGAGAAGAGGGAGATAGAGAGAGGAAGTCAGAGAGACAGAGAAAAACTCATACTCTACCTCTCTTCGTCACTGGTACGCTTCCTTATCCATACAATCCGTTTGAATCCCTATTTAATCTCAATCGTAATCTTCGTTTTCACTGTTGATTACAGGCATGGTTATTATTTTAGAATAGAATGCTATGAAATCTAACATTTTTTATTTTAGTTAATTACGGAGTATTTGATGATTTTGTTAACAAATGTTTGAGTTTTTTGATAACTTTTTCTAGCTGAAATTCCGATGTGAATTTTGGGGTTCGATCAGTCGGAGGAATTGTGTGTTTGTTCGGTCAGAGATGATGTTTGGCTTGGGGGTTTTGGGTAGTGGAGGATCATCTTCTTCTTCTTCTTCTTCTTCTTCATCGTCGTCCAATTTATCGCCTTTGGCACCACCCTTTACTGTTGATCGCTTCAATCATTCAAAACCCAATTCCAATCCGCTCTTGCCTTTAAATGACTCGTCTTATAATATGCTCTTTAGCCAGTCTTGGCAATACGCCAACCCCTCTGCTTCTAGCCCAGGCTTCTTACCAAAACCGGAACTGGGTGCTGATTCTATGAGGACTACTTCGGTGCCTTTAGCAGCTGAAGAAAACTCGGTTCCACAGTCTGTGAAACCCAGTAGTCCCTATTGGTCCACTCAAACCCTGGAGGCTAATCCTCTGATGGATGCATTTTCATATGTATCTGAAGGCAGGCCTTATTATCCTCCTTATACATCTCCGGTGGTTGGTGACAATACCCCCTTGTTGGCCATAAATGAACCTCATCCTGATTTGTTGCCTACTTCTAGTGTTGTACCGGGAAATGTATCATCTCAAGTTGATTATACACAGAGTTTGGCCGGTTTGCAATACTCTGCACCACATTCAACTGGTGTTTGGAATGGACTCACTGATCAGATGCAGGGGAAAAAGATGGAAGTTAGTGGAAATTTATCTCTTGAGAATGCAACTGCTGGTTGTTCAAATCTTTTAAAAAATTCTATGAACCAAGGTATCTATTTTTCCTTTACTATGTTTGGTTGTAATGAGTTGAGCAATTTATCTATTTATGTACCCAAATGAGCCTATTTCTGCATCAAATTTTTAAAAAATTCTATGAACCAAGGTATCTAGTTTTCCTTATGTTTGGTTGTAATGAGTGAGCAATTTATCTAGTTATGTACCCAAATGAGCCTATTTCTGGTGCCTTTGCTGGTTATTCAAATCTTTTAAAAAATTCTATGAACAAAGGTATCTATTTTTCCTTTACTATGTTTGGTTGTAATGAGTTGAGCAATTTATCTAGTTATGTACCCAAATTGAGCCTATTTCTAGTGCCTTTGCTGGTTGTTCAAATCTTTTCAAAAATTCTATGAACCAAGGTATCTAGTTTTCCTTTACTTTGTTTGGTTGTAAGGAGTTGAGCAATTTATCTAGTTATGTACCCAAATTAGCCTGTTTCTGGTGCCTTTGGCTGTTTCACAGTTTTTGAGATTGACTAGCATATCATAATTTGATGTAGCTTAGTATCTTATAGGTAAAATCAACTGCAATGGTCTTCCCCCATGGCCCCATTTTTTCTAACTATTTTTACAAGAGATGGGTTCTTGGTTGTACTTGAATGCTCTTTCTCTTTGGACTGTCAATATTTATAATCTTGAATTTTGGTTAGCCTTATGAACGAATCATCTAGTGCTTTCATCCTGACAATTGCTCATTTTCCGTAGATGTGATATCTAGTATTTATAGGAAATTGGTTTTACTTTATAAAAAATGGTGTAGGTTACAGAAAGAAATCTTACATGAATAACTATTGTATATATGCTTCTTACAGGTATTTTACTATAAACTTACTGATTTTGTAATCATATAGGAGTTCATTCCCTTCACTGTGGAAACAAAAATCAAGATAATTCTGGCACTTTTTGTGGGAATTTTACTGAAAGGGAAACACATGATGGATTTCTGAAGATGGGACATGTGACAGACAAGTCATATCTTGTTCAAGAGCTAGGCTTCTACCCTTCTATGTTTTCAACATCTTCTGAATTGCATTCAGTTGGCCAATCAATGGAATCGCCTACGGATTTCAGGAACTATAAGAAACCTTACAATCCTTATGAAAAATGCATCCAGCCACCTGATTCCTACAAATGTGATAATGTACCAGCACCTAAATCCTCAACTACAGTGGTCATTAGGCCACCAACTGCAGGCAATATTTCCTCAATAAAAAAAGGCAGTTCTCACAAAACTGGAGATGGTGGCAAATTTGCAGCAATTCAAATTGATGGATTGGGTAGCCATGATCCCTTGAAGGGAGGACTTTTCCAGCCAGCAAATTCTACAGAAAAAGGTGTTTATTTGAACTGTAATCAACTTAATGTGCACAAAGATGATGATCGTAGCTTCTGCAATGTTTCATGGTCTTTAAAGGAAAACCTGTCATGCCAGTCCCCTGCTAATGATGCCTTTAAACAAACCATTGAGTCAAGCCCTGGATCGCAGGTTACTTTTACAAAAGTCTTGGATGATATTTCTTTGGCTAGCAATAGTATCCAAGCTGTTCGGTACACTGAGAGTTATTCAGATGGTGTAGATCCTCATAATCCAAATGTTGATTCACCTTGCTGGAAAGGAGCTCCGGCATCTCGCACTTCTCCTTTTGAAGTTGAAGCTGCATCTCCACCCCAAGGGAATCATCAGTTTCCTCTTGATGTATCTACAAATGCCACTTCTCATTTATTATGTGAAAGCAATGTGCACAATGAGAATGAATCTGCTGTAAATTTTATGGCAATTCCTTCTAAGAGTCCTGCAATTGAAAATTACACTGCTAAAGAACATCTGTCATCTGATGCTGGAAAAGCAGAACTGGATCTCCCAACTCTGAGCAGCAGCAAAGGTGTTCAAATTTCTCTTGACCTAAGTAACTCCGGGAAACTCAGTTTTGGAGATAGTGTTGATGCTGTGCTCAACATCAATGATGCCTCAGAAGGTTGCACCGTTGCTCTTCATGCTGCAGAGAAAGTTCTAAACTCACCAAGTTCTCAGGAAGATTTTGAACATACTCAGACGTATGGAAGGTTATCAAATCCAAAAATGGATGTTCAAACACTGGTTATGGCTATACATAACCTCTCAGAGTTGCTTCAATTTCATTGTTCAACTGATGCATGTACACTGAGGGAGCAAGATCATCAGGCCTTAAAATATGCGATCAGTAACCTCAGTGCTTGTATCCCTAAGATCGGAATGATGAATACAACCCATGACAAGGTGTTACCTGTGCCAAACATGGTGGATAAAATTGAGGAAGGTTTCCATATGGTATGTCTTTTAAATGAGTCTCAAGGGTTGAGGATCTTTTGAACTGTATCTCTAGTCATGGCACTTAAATAACATTAAGAGCTGGTTAACCCCATTGTGTGCCTTGATTATCAAAAACTTATATACTTGTGCATCTATTTTGTACTGTTCTAGTTCTAGTTCTAATTTCTGAATTTCAACTTTTCATAATAATAGCATGCTCTCAAATGGAGATTGACTCAGGTTGGACTTTTACAGATGATCTTACCTGTGGTCTCAATTTGTCACTGATATTTTCTGTGATTGTTGGATGTTGATTTTGTTTATATGGATTGCTTGCCTATTTAATTTCTGCATTTTTTTGTTTACATTTAGCGATTGTGGTAATTTATTCCTTTTTTTCAGGATACTGGCTTTGGCATACCTCAGTTAAACAATGAAGCTGCTAGATGCTTACATGATCAGCCTGGTAATCAGAACATTCATGAAGCAAAGAACCACTGTGGTGAGAAAACTGAGAATTTTAAACTTTTCCCCTCGAGCAATAATGTAAACATTTCAGAAGAGGATAATGTGGCCCAGGTATGATTTAAGTCCTAGTGCTGTGAACCAATCATCAATTCTGGTGGCTGGGATAGAATGGAGAATTATTTCTCATTAATTTGTAGGACATTTCAATGTTGTGAATCTGGCTTGCAGGCTATTTTGAAGGTCCTAAATGAAAATTTTCACTTCGATGGAGAAATGAAATCACAAGCTCATCTCTTTAAGAACCTATGGCTTGAGGCTGAAGCAAAATTGTGTTCCGTCAGTTATAAGTCTCGTTTTGATCATATGAAGATTGCTATGGAGTTGCAAAATTCCACCAGGGTAAATGGTAAGGGCAGTTCATTAGTCCATATCAAGTTTGTGTATCTCACTGATAGGTGTCTATGCCTCTTATGCTTCAGAAAATGTAGCTGCAGCAGAAAAGAATTCAAGGTTCAAGCATGTACCTGATGGAAGCTTTGTGCGGAAAACAAGTGTCTCGAGCTCATCTGTTTCTTGCACTACACGTGATATTCATGATGTTGAGGGTTCTATCATGGCCAGATACAATATCTTGAAATGTCGGGATGGAAATTCCAATTCAACATTTGTGGAAGGGAAACAAGATTCAGATGTGGTTCCTACTGGTTTTACCAGTAAAAAGAGTGGTAGGCCCCATATAGGTGATATGGACATGCAAAATTCCATGGGAGCAAAAGGTAAGGTGGTCTATATATCAAGGGTATATCTTGCTGTCATGGTCTCTAATTAGTCTTTATTTTTCAGGTGTTTCAGAAAACTCAGCTATTGCCAATAGTATTTCAAGCTTGCAATCTTCTCCAGAAGCAAATATGTATTCCCCTCTGGCATCTACTACCCGTGATATTCATGACGCTGAGGGTTCTATCATGGCCAGATACAATATTTTGAAATGTCGGGATGGAAATTCCAACTCAACATTTGTGGAAGGGGAACAAGATTCAGATGTGGTTCCTACTGGTTTTACCAGTAAAAAGAGTGGTAGGCCCCATATAGGTGATATGGACATGCGAAACTCCATGGGAGCAAAAGGTAAGGTGGTCTATATATCACGGGGTATATCTTGCTGTCACGGTCTCTAATTAGTCTTTATTTTTCAGGTGTTTCAGAAAACTCAGCTACTGCCAATACTATTTCAAGCTTGCAATCTTCTCCAGAAGCAAATATGTATTCCCCGCTAGCATCTAGTGTTCCAGATGCAGGCATCCAGAATTGTTCCCTTTCATGCTATACTACTACCCGTTGCAATGATGATCCCGAGAGTTCTGTCATGGCAAGATTGAATATTCTGAAAGGTCGGGATGGGAACTTCCATTCAACATATGTGGGAGAGGAGCAATATTCGGATTCATCACACACAAAAAGCGGTCAGTCAATGTATGTAAAACTACCCGAAGAAAAGATTCTGAACGCTACCATTTTGCCTCTACTGCATCAAAGCTCGGGTGTGAGTGAAGTTGGTTCCTATGCTGCAGATGGATCTGGAAAAGAATCCATGAAAGAGTTTCAGCTCTCAGTTGCAAATAATCCAGTCCAACAAACAAATAGAAGAGTGAGTCTGGGATCTTCAACATTGTATGATACTTCTTCATCGGATTGGGAGCATATACAGAATGATGACTTTGCATGGCAGAGCTGAGCCATGTTTTCCATGGCAGTCTGGTCTGAAAGTTAGCTAGTAGTAGTTGTATATGAACTTTGTTTGATTTCACACTCTACGTATCTGTTGTGTATTTTGTTGAACGAATTGGATGATATCAAAACTCTTTTTTTTGTGGGTTTGCAGTTTCTGCTCAGCTCTTTTCAATACATATCCTGCAAATTTTCTGAAATGCAGCAAACATGTTCCTTTTGGTGTAAATCACGAGGTCTTCCAGGTCTATCTCCGTTTGTCTTACGATTTGGGTACACTTGATTAATTCCTATTCGCTCCAAGAAGCATGTGAGTTTGCTAAAGGGAAATTGTCACGTGTTGAAATCAAATTTGAATTATTCCAAAAATCATCCCTCAAAAAATTTTATTTGTCACTTGAGTTACACTTTACGTGGCAACATGTTTCTTCTTAAAGTGTGTGTACACCACTCATAGAATTTCATTTCATATTTCTCATCCCATGTCACACTCCAATCCAAATCATTATAGAAAGATATGGCCTTTTGATAAGGCACTAGGCCAAGATACAAATGAAAATGGAAAGTAAACCAATCATGGATCAAACAAATTGAAAATGGAAAGTGAACAAATCAAACATGGATCAGAATCAGGTTAATTTGTTTATAGAAAAAGGTTCAAATTAGGCAATTAGTTACGTTATTGAAAATGCAATTTGGCTAACTCAAAAAAAAAAAAAAAAAAGACCACTAAACAAATTAAAATAATACAATTGGATCAAAATTAACTAGTACTACAGATTAATTTTTAATAAATTATTTTATTTATTCATTTTAAATATAAAAAAAATTAAAATATAAAATATATAAAAACACCAACCCCCACCCCTTCATCTCTATGTATGTTCACCTTCTTCATTAGACTATCTCCTTGATAATTGATATGCCTGCTTTGACTTTCCTTCCAAAGTTCCAGTTCCTGCAACTAGTACTAATAGAGCATCACTAATAGCAAATTTTGAAGGGTTTTAACACAGTTTTTGAGATAACAATTGCCAACATGGAAGAGAGAGAGGGAATAAAAAGAACGTGTGAATTCCTCCTGCAAGAGAGGAATTTTTGCATAAATGTGAGACCCACTGCTCAACATTGCCATTCGCGCGCACAGGCGTGGCTGTCACCGCACGCCTCGCTGGGCGCATAACTGTCGCTGTGCAGATTTTTTTTTTTTTTTTTTTTTAAATTTTAAATAAGCTTATTTTGTTTGTTTTTTTTTTTTGTTTTTGTTTTTGTTTTTATTTTTTATCTTCTCTCCCATCTTCTTTTTCTTAATCACACTTTCAAAAACTCTTCAAAAATTATAAAAATAACCCCATTATTGAGGATGCCCAGTGTAAGATAAGCCCAAAACATAGTCATAAAGTGTATTATACTAAAGTTTGTAATACGGAGTAATAGATTTCTACCCACCAAAAAATACTCTTTCAGGTTGTAAAAGATTGATCCCAGCACACTGATACCACCATTTGAAAACTCCTCAAAGCGAAAAACTCCTTTGTTCTGTAGATGTTTGTTTAGAATATGTGCACGAGAATTAGGAGTGTTAGGGAATAGAAATTTCAATAAATTACTTGTGTTTGTGTTCAGTAAGCATTCATTTATTAAGGTAAAAGAATATAAATGAACAAATTTTAGAGCTATGTTCATAAACAAACAGAGTCTGAAAAGTTATAGGCTCGTTTGCTAAGAGCTCGTGAACAAGCTCCTATTCGTTTAGTGCTCGTTTAATGTTTATGAACATGTTAATGCACAAATAGTTTAAAACACACACACACACACGCGCGCGCACACACACACACACACACATACACACACACACACATATATATATATATATATATATGGGGAGATGCCTTTGCCTCCGCAAAGGTTTAATTGAGGAAAAATAATGTGAAAAGAGTGTGGAATAGTGTATTGTGTAGGACAAGAATTAATTGAAGACTGATTAATCAATGGCATGTAGTCCAAATATGTAGGGGAGATGCCTCTGCATAGGTTTAATTGAGGGAAAATAATGTAAAGAGTGTGGAATAGTGTATTGTGTTGGACAAGAATTAATTGAAGAATGATTAATCAATGACATGTAGTACATATCATTAATATATATAGGAAGAGTTAGAGAAAAGTAAAAAGTAGAATAGTAGTTTGAATTTATTAATTCGGAAATAATTTTGGATGAAGAGTTTGGGTGTGTGTAGGATAAGTATTATTGAGGAATGATTAATCAATGACATGTAGTACATATCATTAATAAATTTTGGAAGAGTTAGAGAATAGTAAAAAGTAGAATAGTAGTTTGAATTTATTAATCGGAAATAATTTTGGATGAAGAGCTTGGGTGTATGTAAGATTTGGAAATTAAATTTAAAGTGTAGGAATTTAAAAAAGATAGTTGGAAACATTTTTAATTTCAAAATTACTAAAATTATTCAATTTCAGCTCCATTGTAGTAATTTTCATAATTATCGGAGTCATAATTTATGGGATAAAGAGGAGTTGAATATCTGTAAGATTCTCCTATTTCATAATTTATGTGTGCATGTTGTTAATGAAATTGTGCTTCAAAATTTTTAATGTGTTTTAATTGAGAAACTAATTCGATTATTTCTTCAACCAAATTTTCTAATTTTTCTTCTTCAAAATCTATTTCAAATTGTTCTTTTAATTTGTCTAATATAAATTTTTCTTGAAATGTGGATAATTTTAAATACTTTATAATTTGTTTACCAAGTCTGGGTAGGAAAATCTCTTGAGTAGATAATAAATTTTTTTGTTAAAATTTGGTATATTTATTGTATATTCAATAAATTATTATTATTTTTTTTTGAAGGGAAGAAATTAATGCATTAAATAAGAAGAAAGACACTGAACAAGATAATGATGAGGATTATCAAATCACTCCCCGCAACCTGACACAGAAACGGCTTCCCGAGCAACAATGTGGGCAGCACGATTCGCAGATCGCCTAACAAAACGGAAGTGAGCACCATTTATCGTGGAGGCCACTTCTTTAATATCATCAATAATTAAACCAAAAACAGAAGTAAAAGAATCTGAACATAAAGCATGGTAAACTAATTGCGAATCAGTCTAAATATCAACATCGCCCATTCCCTTTCCTTTCAACCAGCTTAAAGCCTCGTGTACACACACCGCCTCTGCCTCTTTAACTCCATAATACACACTCCTTTTGTAGCAAAAAAAAAAAAGCCATAAATTGTTGTTGTTGTTGTTGTTATTATGTGAATTAGTCATCTAAGTCATCAAAACATATTAATGTAGAATTTCAATCACCTTTAACTTCGAGGTTACCTGCAATAACAGGTCAAATGTGGTTAATTGCACTTTTTTTTTCTTCTTCTTAAAGTTCAGGTGTTTAATTGGAACTTTTTCTAGTTTGATGGCTTAATTGCACTTTCATGAATAGTTAAAGAGCTTTTTTGATCCTTATCTCAAAATATTAAAATATTTTGTATTTGCAATTAATAAATAATGTACCAGTTACAACAGCTAAACTTTTAAAATATTATGTATCTTCAATTTATAAATTATGTATGTACAATTAATGTATTATGTACATTCAATTAATTTATAGGTACAAAATGTCTTAACTAAATATACATAATATGTTAACAGTATGTACATAATGTGAACGTCGTTTTAGACCAACGTCCACAATATAATGCAAGGTAGACCCTGACCCATGATATAATTTGCCTACATGTTGTACCTACCAATTGTTATACAGTGGACCATGGTCCATATAGCTGTGTGGACTATGTTTCAATACGACGTTGTTTCTTTTAATTAAAAGAAATGATTACCGTTACTGTGAACCAATAACGGCGTATCACATTACAGATATGTATATTATCAAATGAACTTGTAGTAGAATTAAAATGATACTTTAGTGTTGTTATAATGAACCTATTGTGTGTATAAAATGAAACTGAATAGCAGAGCGCGCGCACACACACACACACACACACACACACACACACACACACACACACACACACACACACATATATATATATATATATATATATATATATATATATATATATAAAATTACACTTTTGGTCCTGTGACTATTGGGGTCTTGTTAATTTCAGCACTCAATTTTAAAAACTAACAATTTAGTCCCGTAACTATGCAATTTTTAACACATTTGGTCCATCCGGCCAAATTGCCGGTCAATTGTCGCCGGAATTTTTTAATTTATTTTAATTTTGTTAATTCGGGGGCAAATCAGACATTTCTCGTTCTTCCTTCTTCATTCTTCTTCCAGGTTACAATTACGACGTCGCTTGGGATGTCATATTAATTGATTTTCAATGCCGGTGTGTTGACGATATCGGGTGCTGGCCACCGCCGCAAGGTTGCTCACCACCTTCTCCAAAATTTGACTTTCCACCAATCCTATTCATAGCAATTGCAATAACTTAATGGGTTTCCCTGGAAATAGCTCCAAGTGACATACCACCAGTGCAAAATCGCTGCACAATTGATGAAGCAGGTTTAACCTTTGTAAATGGAATAGGTGAACAATCACTTTTCCGTTCAAGAAGGTCTCGAAGAACATGTAATTACAGTAAATGTTCAGAAACTTTTAGAACATCAACCAGATATCTGAAGTAATAATAACCAAATCAGTACACAGGGAGCAGAGGACTGGGTTCGTTACCCAATCAAGATTCAAGCTGTTCGTCATATCCGAAATAAGATTTAGGATTATTAATTGGTCAAATAATAGTACTAGGTTGTACTAATACTGGGTTGTTTGTCGGATTAAGCTTTCATTGAGAAGAATTTGTGCATTAATTCCAATTTTCTTGAAATCCAAACGCAGAAGTCATTCATATAAACTAACAGATGAACTAAACATCATATTTGCAGCCTTCTTCTTGGGGAGATTGTTGATGGCGAATTTGCGATCGGAGAAGACCGTATGAAACAATGTAACCTGGAGAAGAACGAAGGAAGAAGAAGGAAGAAACAATTTAACTTAAATTGACCGTTTTGCCCTCATGAATAAACATTTTAAAATATTTATATTTTTTCGGCAACATTTGGCCGGTGATTTGGCCGGGAGGACCAAATGTGTTAAAATTGCATAGTTACGGGACTAAATTGTTAGTTTTTAAAGTCAAGTACTGATATTAACAAGACCCAAATAGTCATAGGACCAAAAGTGTAATTTTCTATATATATATATATATATATATATATATATATATATATATATATATATATATAGTCAAATGAACATATAGTAGAATTAAAATGATGATATTTTACTGTTGCTATAATGAACCTATTGTATGTATTAAATTAAACTAAATAGTAGAGCTTATACAGATAGATACATTGTCAAATGAACCTGTAGTAGAATTAAAATGATACTTTTGTTTTGCTATAATGAATCTACTATGTGTATAAAATAAAACTGGATAACAGAGATATGAAGTATGATTAAAAGGACACTTTAGAGGTACTATAAATCTATAATGAAACTAGTGTGTAAAAATGAAACTAAAAAACAGAACTCATACAACAGTAACGAATTAGGAAAACGGTAACGATTTCTTTTTAATTTCTAAAATTAAAATTAACGACGTAATTTTATTTCATGGTCCACGCTACTACATGGACCATGATCCACAATAAGAATTGCATTTACCTACTCTTAATTTTATTTAGTTTTTTTTTTCAGAAAATAAAAAAAATAAAAAAAAATCTTATGATGTGATATGTAGCTACAAAAATTAATTACAATTTTTTATTCTTTTCATTTTTTTCCTTAATAAAATCAAGATGTGTGAAGAGTTTTATTCATATGTATATTTATCATTTTTTATTAAATAATTTCTTTGGAAAAAAAAAAGAAGAAGAAATTTACAGGGACAAGAAAGGGCTTTAGTCAAAACTGAGAAGCAAATAATTAGCAACCAATTAATATACTTATCTTAATGAACTTGTTTCAACGAGGGTCCATAGCTCAGTGGTAGAGCAATTGACTGCAGATCAATAGGTCACCGGTTCGAACCCGGTTGGGCCCTGTTTGATGCGTTTTAATTTTATTCCTTTCTATAGGAAATTTAGCATCACTACACAATCAAAATGCATTGATTTATTGAAGTTTGGGATAAGGGTCAAATAGGCCCTTCAAGTATAGGCTAAAGTGCAATTGAATCCTCAAACTAAAAAAAGTTTCAATTAGACCCCTTAACTTCTTATTTTGATACAATTAGATTAATTAATAGGTTACTTTTAAGTAACCGGTAATTTTTTATTTTAATTAAAAAATATAATTAAAATTAAAAAGACATATTTCTTAAATTCAAATAAATTAATTAAAACAATTTTTTTAAATTCAAATAAGTTAATTAAATGTAAGAAAAGAATTTACCTTCCGCCCAGTATAGAAAAGCCCGCGGCCATGGCGTACACAAAACATCTTTGCGGCCATGGCGTCCACAAAACATCCTTGCCCTTTAATTTCTTTCCTCTTCACATTGCCACCCCACATCATGGTTCTTTCCCTTCAACGTAGGAGATAACGACCTCACCTCTCATGTCTTCTCCTCTCCGCCGTCACCACTAACTTCACTGCCACTCTCAGTCACCAACGCCGCCGCATCCGCTACTACCGACGCGTGCTGCTCAGCTTCCGCGACCGCCACCACCGCTATCTTCTCTCTATCGGTTTTTCAGCTTGAGAGAATGGGCAGTAAATGGAGAAATCCATGGACGAGGCAGACCAATCTAAAGAAGTCAGCCTTGTCTTGAATTTTTAGTTTTCTGCCTTTCTGGATATTGGACACTGAAGCTATTTCATTATTGTCTTCTTATTCCTATCCCAAAATAATTGATATTCGTTTAGATCTTGCTTCTCCACACTCGCTGTCCACAATTTTGTTTTTAAAGACTGATAACCACTTAGATCTTTTTACCGCTAGTGTGTTTCCTGTTTGAATCTCCATCGTCATTTTAATTTGTTTGTACACTGTTTATGAGCAGGTCAAGTTCTTGCTAGCATAGTGGTACACCTAAACTAAATTTTTTCTAATTACTTTTCGTTTTCATACTCCATATGTTTTTTGCCTTCTGTTTTGAGTGTTTTAAGTAGATTAGAGATTAGAGAATGTCTGTGCAAAACAGTTTAGGTTTTTATGGGATTTTGGATCAATCATGTAAAAAATGATGTGAGTTACTGTTTGAAGTTGTGAAAGATTTGCACAATAAGGAATAGTCTGTGACTTGGTACATAAACCAATTTGTCTGGTAAGTTTTGGAAGAGCTTCGTGAATTCGACGGAGGGAGAAGCCCGTCGTCGGGCTGGTGTAATTTTTTTAAAAAATTTATTTTTAAATTAATTTTACCTACTATTACCTTGAGGGTTAATACCTCCAATGGTCCTTCAAGTATTAGCCATATACCAGTTGTGGTCATCATTCGACTTTTAAACGACCACGAGACGTCCTCCCAGTGGCGGACCCTAACCATAAATAATGTTGGATATAGGAAAATTATATAACACGTCAAAACATTATAAAAATATTCATAACAAAATATGAATATAATCAATTTGATAAAATAATTTGAATAAAAGATCCATTATAAATTACACATCTCATCTCATTATTAATATCAATGAAGAAAATTATATAACACATCAAAACATTATAAAAATATTCATAACAAAATATGAATATAATCAATTTGATAAAATAATTTGAATAAAAGATCCATTATAAATTACACATCTCATCTCATTATTAATATCAATGAAGATTATATTATTGTGTTGAAGCAATATGCACGCACTAAGCCAACCACAAATTCGAACCTTGGCCTACCTTTAATCCAACCATGCACTCTGCCAACTAAGCTAAGTCACATTCTGTTATCATTTCTCTATTTTTTAATACTTATACTAAAACTTCTACTATATATACACATATACATACAAGAGTTATATAAGAGGTGGGGGTGGGGTGAGTGGGGGCAGTTGACCCCACTGCCCCCACTGTGGGTCCGCCTCTGCGTCCTCCATCTTTTAAAAAATAACCACATATGGTCCTCCCTTAAGTTTGGTGTTAAATGTGCATTAAATGTGAGGACAATGCTATCTCTTCACCTATATTAGCATTCCTCTTAAGGTTGCAGCTTTATTGCTTCTATCACAAGAAGAATAATGACACTTTTTTTTGAAGGTTTAAGCACGGCATACCATTACCCAACAAAGACTTCAAACTTACCCACAACCAGAAGTTCAGTAGATGAGAATAGATGTTCCAAAATGCATGCATTCTAGTTTCAAACACAAAAAAAAGGACGGAGATGCAAAAACCTGTGCATTTTGACTAATGGGTAAGCTTAAAGTAAAGAATCAATATGATTGCAATCACCAAGACTGCAATGATTGATCCAATGATCCATTTGTTCCGGCTCATCCTTCTTGACATGGTAGTCAGTATCTTCTTGCTCCTACTAATATTGTCATCCACTCCATGAAGCGTGTTATGAGCATGCAGAAGAGACTGTCGTTGTTGGTGCAAATCTTGAAGATTTGAAACCCCAAGCTCTTCAGTTTCCAGCATCACTTTTTGACCTTCTCTAATCCTATCAGTGGACTGATTTAGGCTGTGTTTGGAAACCCAGAAAATGACTTCTAGAAGTCATTTTCCGAGTTTTTGGTGTTTGACTACACCTGGAAAATCCAGTCAACGGAAAACATTTTCCGTTGGGGAAAATGAGCTCAATTTGGCGGAAAATGACTTCCGCCAAATTTGGGCGGAAGTCGTTTTCCGCCACTTCTCTTTCATTTTTTTTTTAATGATTCTATGGTTTCTGACGGAACCCAGTTCCGCCGGAAACCATAGCCATGGTTTCCGGCGGAACTGGTTTCCGCCAGAAACCAGCCTTGGTGTCCGGCGGAACTGGGTTCAGCCGGAAGCCATAATTTTTCTTTTTTTTTTTCTTTTTTTTTTTTTTTTTTGTTTTAAAGATTTAAAATGTATTTTTTATTCAGAATAAAATAATTAAAATATTTAATTATACCATTCTACTCATTTTCCAGAAAATGAACCAAACACAGCAAAACAGTTTTCCAAATGCAACCAAACACTGGAAATGGAAAATGTTTTCTGAAAAATGACTCATTTTCCAAAAACCATTTTCCAGAAGTCATTTTCCTACTTTCCAAACGGACCCTTAATCTCTTAGTTGATGTGCACATTGACAAGTACGATACCTGATTCCACAGAGATTGAATTTAGAACCCAAAGAGTGGTTCCGTAGGCGAGATTGAGGTTAGGCTGGCTAGATGCCGAGCGCGGACAGGTCCGTTCACACGTGGTGAAGTTCTTGCCTGCCCGCGATTAAAGAAGAGAAAGTGAGTTTGTGTGACTCAAAGAGAAAGAAGATAAAGTGATGAGTCTGTGTGACTCAAAGAGAAAGAAGAGAAAAGCGGGTCTTTGTGACTCAACAGAAACCTCCAAAGAAAAGTATACATTTTTTAGTGTGAGAGTATATATCTATACTTATAGCATCATGGTTTTTCTTTACACTTGATTGCATGTGTTGTATTTAGAGTATGTTGAGATGTTAGTTTGTTATTGATTGTTGTTTAGCATGAAAACATGAGATTGTTGTTCTGTTATTTAGTATCTCTTTATTTATTGTTGAAGCATGAGATTTGTGTTACGTTGAGTACTTAAGAAAACATGACTATTGTGTTGATTTTATGAGTTATTAGGTTGCAAGCATATAGAAGTGTTTATAAACATGATCTGAGTTTGTTGTTTAAGTGTGAAAGTACTTGAAATAATGTGTGCTTGCCAAATGATTTTCAAAACCTATATTCTATAGTACTTTACATGGTTGTTTGATTTTATACTTAGCATTAATTTACTAACAGGTTTATTTTCTACCTGTTTTTATAACCTCTTTCAGGTCGGCCCAGTTGTTGAGGCGCACGAGTTTAGTTTAGTGCGTAGATGAGTTGTTAGACTCTAGATAGTTTCTGTTTGGTTGTTGATGAATAGATACTGATGTTTAATGTTAGATGTTTGTTGACTAATGACTTAGTTTGATCTTTTGTTGGTGTTGGACACTGGGTTTGTACCCCAAGCTTTATGGTTATTTTATTGAAGTTTAACTTGAGTTAGTTTCTCCCTTTTTAGCCTGTGCAGTCGCCTCGAGTGGTGACTGTGGCGGTAACACCCGTTGGTTGGTTTTAGATGCTTTAAGTTATTAATCTTCCTTTTAATTCCTTGTTTAGCTTATCTTATTACATTAAGTAATTGGGATTTAGATTAAGAAAAGTGGGGTGTTACAAGTTGGTATTAGAGCGGTACGAAACGCGGGATTTAGGAAGGCTGAACCTTAGGATTCAGTATATATAGGAGACCTAAGTTGAGTACTAGGATGGACAAGTTAAGGAAGTGAACTTTAAGTTGTAAGCTTTGAAGTAAGAAAGACTTTGAGTTAAGAGTAAGAATTCTAAGGTTAAGAAGTTTCTTAAGTCTTACAGTTAGGAACGCGGTGAGATTGTGAGTTTCTTACGCTTGCTTAACTATTTATGTGCTTTTTCAATGTGTTTAAAGTACTGTTTGCTTGCTTCTTGAAAGTTTAAAGTTGAAAGTTAAGATTTGGGAGTTGAAAGTGAAAGTTGAGACTTTAAGACTTTGAAAGTTAAAGTGTAAGTGAAAGTTTTGTGAAAGTTGTTACATGTTTCTTGTTTTGTGCCTTACTTGTTGTGAGCCTTACTTGAGAAAAGAGAAGTTAGAAGTAGTTAGTTCTTAGAGGTACTAACTGAGCTGACCTGTTCTAATCGTGTAAAGGGCTAACATAATGCCATCGAGAAGAAGAGTTAGAGAAGAGACTCCTCAGCTCGTTCTAAAGGAGCTAGAACTTCGTCTTCCACAGACTTGACTGAGAGCCTACATCAGCTGACTCAGTTGACCCAAACTATTGGAGCCGCTGTACTGAATGGGAACAATGGTAGTGGGGACGTGACTGGGAAGATCACGGGGCGTAATCCGCCGAGCTATTCGGGCCAAGAGGGCCCCGAAATCCTAGAGGGATGGATCCGAACGTTTGACAAGCTGTTAACGTGTCAACTGTGTGACACCCCGAAAATTTATTCTTTTAAGCCGAATTAATAACACGATTAATTCCTATTTTGCCTTACAATTCCTTCATAATTCCCATTGAGTATAGTTAAGAGACCTAGTTTGACCAAATCCCTTAGCCTTTTAAATGTGGTCAATGGGTTAGACCTTGTGCCTTATTCCTTGTACTCAAGCCTTTAACTAAAGAATTTCTCCTAACTTGCTTTTGGGAAGGAGATGCCCTTTTGGTCTTTTCACAAGTCTTAACTTGGAACCCAAGATATTTCCTAGACAATCACCCAAGTCTTCCACATTTAGCCAAAGAAAACCTCTCTCTCTACACCCTAGCTTACTCTCCAAGCCACCCTAAACCCTCCCATTCTACCAAAGAGTTCTTCATCTTCCTCTACCTAGAAGACCATCAAGTTTCCACCTTTCCCCATCTACAAGCTTAGGAAGGGTAAGTTCTAGACTTCTAGCGTTTTATTTCTTAGTTTTTCACCTTCTTTATCTAAGTTTTCTTGTGTTTGTTGGGTTTTGGTTTGTGTAATGAAGATCACTTGGAAGAGGACCTTCAAGAAGGATCTTAGGAGTTTGGGAAGTGTTGAATAGGCTAAGAAGGTAACCCATGTCTTACAAAATCTATTTACACTTGCTATGTATGATTTATTGATGCTCTTGAGTGATTCTATGCATATTCTTGTGTATATGCTATGTAGAGCTTGTATCTAGGGTTCTCTAATACTATTTGTTGAGCTATTTATATGTATTCAAGTCCCTCTTGTTATTGATGTGAGTTTTAAGGTGTTTGGGCTTGAACTTGTGCATTCTAACAATTTTTCCCAAAGTGGTCTTTCTTCTCTCTGTTCGGTACCAGCGGGCAGACTGGCGGGCAGTTTGCCACCCGCCAGTCCACCCACTGGTACAAGGTTGGCTGTGGCGGGTGGTTGACCACCCGCGGTACCACTCGCTGGTACGGGGTATTTTCGGCGGGTGGTTTGCCTCCCACCCGAACCGCCCACCGGTACGTTTTGTTGATTTCTTGTTCCCCGGTTGTTTGTGAGCACTGATTGATATTTCGTAAGCCTAGAACGATGTCTTAAGTATCCTTGATAGAATTTGTGAGTCTTGAATTGTGTTTGTGATCTAACTTTGTGATTCGTTGGATTGAAGTGAAATCTATGATGTTCGTATGAGCCTTTATGATTATCTTGTTAATTTGCATGCTAGCTACGTAGTTTGTTGGTACTAGTATGTGCTTTCCTCGTAATAACCTTATTCTTGATGAGGTTGGTAACTTTTGTTTACCAATCGTTGTGGTCTCTTGGTTGGAATCTGTCGATATTGTGGAAATACCTTGGAATGTCTCCTTCGTGTTCTTTCTTGAATTCCTTCAACTGAACCTATCATTGTGAACTTGTGCAATTGTTGTACCTAATCGTGATTATTCCTTGATTCGGCTATTGCTGAGCCTTGATTATCTATGTCGATGACTATGTGTTTATGATTGATATGGGATTGGCAGTAAGGAGCTTTGCTCCAAAATGAGATTGGCGGTATATTATATGATGTTTATGAGATCGGCGGTATTATATGATGTTTATGAGATCGGCGTCAAGCAGGCAGGGAGCTTAGTCTCCAGATGGTATAAGGTTGGACTGGTGTACAGGGTGGCCTTGGAGGTACAGGTTGGAACTATTATAAGGATGGAGCGGTGTAAAGGTTAGAACTTGATCATTGATTGTGATTATTGTATTCCCTCTTGCTTATGAGCATACCTCTATGTAACCTTTTTGGTTGTTGTTTGATTACCTCGCCTTGTTGATTATCTTTGTATCCTTATCATTGTCTCCTCGAATTGATTCTATTGATTAGCCATGTGTTGGTCGGTATGATTGAGTGTGTCCTTTGATGAGTCAAATGATACTTCCATCTCTCATGTTTTAAAAGCTAGTGTTGCTAAGACTATAATTATGTTTCCAAGTATCAAATGATTTTTATCTATAAAGTATATATTATGTACTTCAACGCGTTTGAGTGTGTTACTTAGCAATTTTCGCTAACGGTTGTTACACCATATGTTTTTTAGGTACATAGTAGTTCGTTTACACCATATGTTTTTTAGGTACATAGTAGTTCGTTCATGAGCGCGTTAGATGAAATCTTTACTTAGACTAGTCTTCCCACCTCTCTCTTAGCTTAGATAGTATGGCCTATGAGCCTTGAACATTTAGACTTGTTGGATGGTTATTGACTTTCGGATTAAGTAGATTGAGATTGGCCTGTGCATCTAAAGTTATAGTTTAGATGTGGCATAACATCCCGATTTTCCGCATCTTTAATACGTTAATGATTAGTCTTTGCTTTTATTCCTAAGCTTCAAATGCTTTAAATTATGCTTAAAATCGGGAGTGTTACAAACTGTCCGCAAGACCAGCGTGTGGAGAGCGCTGTGTACTACCTACAGGATGAGATGTGTGTGTTTACATTATTCAAAACTTGTCTATCATCCGGAAATCTGCAATATCCCTCCCTCCCTCCCAACTAATACTACTCAAATCTCTCATAGCAGGAGTAGTATTCAACTGAAACAATGTCTATGCTGCATCCTCCTGCAATTAGGTTTCACTCCCTTTTCCCTTCTTCCTTGACAATGTCTTTCAGCTTTTCCTTGAGTTCCCCACTCTGCAAAACCCACACAGATTCTCAGCATCTTAATCGAGCAAGAAGCAAAAGCAATGATGATGAACATACCTGGTGCATACTAAGGATGATGTCTGATCCACCAACGAATTCTCCATTGATGAATATCTGTGGGAATGTGGGCCAGTGGCTGCATTACATTTACATCCATCAAACACCAATCAAACAAACCTCCCATGCTAATTAATTTCATAATATACAGAACACAATTCAACTTCTGGCAATGGGAAGCACATATTTGAAGTAAAAATATACAGTCAAAGTTTGACAGTGAAGAAGGGAAAACAATTCAAATAATACAAAAGAAATCTATTTCAAAACTCCCTTACAAAACAGTTAACTGTTCTGGACCACATTGGGTAAGAATATACTCAATTCTACATTTGTATATTCCACAACTTTAAAGTAGACAGTTTAGAAGAGCTCACACGTGTATATTCCACCACCATGGCGGTAACCATTTATTTATTTTTGAAAGGGCAGTAGGGAAAAAAAATTGCCACTTGGTCACAAGTGTTTGCTTTAATGCATCTTCAACTATACTCAATTAAAGCTTGATTTACATCTAAAACCGGTTTTTTGCTCATTGAGAAATACCCAAGTTGGAAAATCAGAGTGCTATAAAGAGTTTCATATCCATCCACAGACAAAGTATGTAGTACAAAGCATTGACTTACCTGAAGGATTTTACAGCATCCTTTAGCTCATAACTATCCAATATGTTTCTGGCACTTATAGGAACATCTGCAGACACCAAATCAATTTTTAAGCACACCAAAAAATCAAGGTCACAACTCTACCAGAAAGGAAGAAACTCACAGAAGCAATATGCAAAAACCAATTGTATCAATGAAAATTTGTCTTTTCCACTAGCTTCACGTAAAAGACAAAGTCAACAATAAAAGGCAAAGAGACTAATTAAAAGATTCGCATATTAATTTACCTCCAAATTAGGCATTCCGTTTCACTCAATGGAAGTACAATTCATCAATTCTATATTTTTCTCAATTTCAATCAATGATTACTTCACCATGTCAAGAAAATAAAGAAAGAAATAAACAAATAACAGTCATCCATTTGAACACTATTTTTTTCATCATTGCTAAGCGGTACACAGACTTTTTGTTCTCTTGCATGTTACTCTGTACTTTATAGACCTGTTTCTGGTTCCACTTGACTACATGAACCAGTACTTGTAGTTCACCTGATTCAGATCACATGTGCTTAAGATCTCATCTTAAGGTTAATTAAGTCACTTTAAATTGTTTTCCAACATACTAATTGTTGGGGATGAAGAATCAAAAGGCTGAAAAGCAAATTAAAATGATAAAAATAACATTACAAAGGTCACACATCACGTGAAATGTGTAAAGTACAAGCAATTATCTAAGCCCATATAGTTAATTACACCTGGAAAACATATATGTACTGAAGTGCAAGAGAGCCAAAAGTGCACATAGTGGCATGCAAAATCCCTATAATTTGTAAAGTTAAGGTCATGTAAAACTGCAGCAGGTAGAAAGCAGTCAGACTAATATAGGGCAACCTTTTAAACAGAGCTAAAAGTAAAAGCACTTTCAAAGATGCATTTGCTTATAAATACTCAAAGTGCAAAAGCAACAAATAGAATAAAAACACATAAAATAAGAGAATCATAACACCAGACCTTTATCAATAAACAATCCTTTTACTTCACCAAAAACAAGCAAATATGGTGTTTTATTTTCCCTTTTTTTTTATTTTTTTATTTTTTTATTTTTTTATTTTTTTATTTTTATTTATTTAAGATTGTCTATATGCAGATGGGCATAAACTTAACAGCAGTATTCTTACTATATTCTTGTAAAACCCTCACTGCTAATGAGCTGAATCCACATAGAGGACGATTGGGCACCCCTTTCATGTAAAGCATCACGGGGTTTTCTTTGACATCCTACAGATAGAGAACTTTAATAGCATAAAACCAGTCAATATATACAAACAAATGCTTTTTTCACGGAGAATATATTGAAATACAAACCTGCTCAACTATGTCCTTCAATGAAATACCGGAACTCTCAACTTTACTAGTAGGTCGAAAATCTTCGTGTGTGTCCGGGTCATTAGGCACAGAGCTTAAGTACCGATTTCCAGCTTGATACAAGGATCTGGATCCCTGTAACATATATATTTGTAATTATAAAGCAGCAGTTAATGCACAAGGCCATTAAATATAATCCCTTGTATTCAATATTTATACACTCCTGAAAATCCAGGCTTTTCCAACCAAATAAAAGTCACAAGATATTAAGTGTTTCATACAGTTTGTATCTTTACCAAATGCAATTCAGTAAACAGTTATCATCTAAAACAGGGCATCTAGAGTAACAAACAAATTAACAAGATTGAAACAAGGAATTGAATCTTACAATGGCAGATGTTCGGTACCCGGCAAGGCCTTTAAGCAGCATGTTAGGTAACGACCTCGCCATAATCTTGGAGCTTCTATCCACCTCAAACTCGTAAAACTGCAACACTGGTGCATTAATTTACTTATCAATTAAAAGAAAATGCACGAGTTTATTCAATTGCTTTATAGGGCTAACAAACAAGCACTTCCCAAATTAAAACCGTACCAGGCAGAATAAATAAAGAAAACATAAGTTGGAATGTGCTAACTATATATATATTAACAGAGCAAACTCATCGAAGCAATTCGTCGAACAGCTGTTAGATCCACTGAGGCTATTGATAAATTAGTAGAAAAAAAAAATTAAAAAGGTGAAATGAAAAGGAGGATTACCAGCGGAGAAGATCAATGGTAGAGCAGGGGCGTTGTATAAACAAACAGTAAGAGGCTAAGAGCTTCGTTCTTCTTCCGTTCCGTTCAGCTTTCTAGTTTCGTCTGTTGTTGAAAGACGACGAATCTTCGATTTTCCTTTCTTGCCCTTGGAAAGAAAAGCAAAATCCGAAAATATGACTATACTAATCAAAAATATATGTTTCAGTTGTACATCATAAGTTAAATTGTAGTTGGTTAGTTATCATATTCAGTTGTAGTTGGTTAGTTTTCATATCTCTTTAGGAAGGTTTATTAAATTGTTCATCATTATGTTCAAAGTATCTTGTAGTGAAAGTAGATCAATGACCTTTTTGCGCAGATAGATGTGGTTGTATCCCTTAGTTTTTGGTGTGTGAAACCCAATTGTATTACTTTTTTATTCTATATGTTGTAGGAAAAATGAACTAAGTCGATTTAATCACAAAATCAGGTCCTCTTGCATGGCCCGCTGGCCACTGATGTACTCCCATTTCCCATATGCCCAAACCAGGTTCACCGATCTCGGTCTTCAAGAAAGATCGGAAGAATGGTACGACGGTGGCCCGGTCGCGGCACAAATGGGCGACCAGTCAGGTAGAGTCGGCGGAGGCATTGGAGAGGAAGGATGATGAGGTTTTGTACTCCGGGATTGCGGCCTTGACCCCCTGTTTCGCCTCTTTCGCTTCCAGCTTGGCCGTAGTGAGCTCCAAGTCCTTTATTTTGGCCTCCCAATGAGCCACGATCCTTTTGAGCGGATCGACCTCTTTTTCGTGAAGGTTGTCAAGGGCTTTGGCCCGACATAAGAGGTCGGTTGCCAAGTGGGCCATCTGCAAAAATAAGTATTAGCCGAGAAGTTGTTTGCTCGCCGTATGTACAAGATGATTGTAGAATCAATACTAACTAGCATGAGCTCCCGAGCGAGCCGTTTGCCGACCTGGTTAGCCGACTAGACGAGAGTACTCTCGCAAGATGGGACCAGCCTGCATATCTTTTCTAGCAAGGCGGCTGGGTGACCCTCCCCGCTGAGCAAAGCGTCAATCACGAGCATATTGTCCGGGTTACCGATTTTGCGCTGCCTTTTCAGCGGTGTTACTTCCTCCACCTCCACCTCTAGGGCCTTGTCCTTGCTCCGCTTGGCGTAGGCTCAGGTCACCAGCATGTCATACCCCGAGCTCGCGGGCTGCGCAGCTCTGAGCGAGAGTGCAGTCGGAATCGACGGCTCGAAGGGAGCAACCCTGGACGACATGGCTTTCTTACCCCCGAGGGAAATTTTGGGTCGGGCTTGACGGAGAGCATATGAGATGGTCTGGAACCCCTCGTCAAGGCCCATACCTACAAAACAAGCAAAGAGAAGTTAGTAATGCTCGGTAAACCCGATTAGATGAGTTAAAAACATTTTGAATGAAAAAAGAGCTTTTTTCGTTTGCGATCGTTTAAATTCCGGACCTTCGACGCTCGGGCCGGTCGTTGGTGGTAGGATCGCGACGATGACAGCTATGGGCTTGGGGGCGTTATTCTCTTCAAGGTCATACCTTGAGGCATAAAGTCAAGCCGCCGTGTATTCCTCGGGTGACTGGAAGATCCAATAATAGTCATAAAACTCCGAGGAAATCTTTGCCACAACGTTGGCTAAGGCGCGGCGGGTCTTGGTCGGGATGGTATGCTTGGTGAAATGCATCGACCAAACCCGGGGCACTGGCAACTTCCAAGTATATTTGATCAAAAGAATTCGATCTTTCCAGCCTTTATTGTTGTCTAGGAGATGGGTGATGCTGCAATGGTACCCTCGGGATTGTATCATCAAAATCCCTCCCCCATGTTTGGGCAAAAGAGACCGGACATAAAAGAGGAAATTAAAAAGCTCGATAGTGCATGGGAGACCATGCCGAACACAGATCTATAGGAAGCAGGCCAAGATGTGGCGGGCATTCGGGTGGATTTGCCCAGGAAAGACCTCGTAATATTGAAGGAACGAAATAAGAAAGGGAGGAAAATGGAATGTTAACGGGGCCTTGAGGGAGTCGGGCTGATCCCCTCGATGACATTGCCCAAAGAGCGGCGAGTGTCAAAACGGACTCAGCCAGTCATAAGAGAAGAAACCTCTTCGACCACAGCTCGAGTGAGTAAGCAAGAATGCTAACACATAACGTCACTATTGAGGAAAATGCGTTTATAGCTCGGAGGGGCGGGAGCACGGGTTGAGGAAGAACGCTTGATAAGTGCCAAAGACACACATCTTTAAGGGTCTTTAAGAGGGCATTTTACACTCGTTTGATATCCTTTGTGTTTGTAATTGATTACAACCAATTTATGGTTGGTTATGCTTGTAATTGCTAATGTGCCGCAAAACACCACTCTACTTTGTGATTTTATGACTTATGAAGGTTTTAAGCATGAAACGGAGGCATATGGGCACGGAACGAGCATCACAAGGAAAGGGCAAAACCGCAGCCGTGCTAGAACCAGCTACGCACGTGGGACATTGCGTGGAAATGGAACAGAAGGATCCACACAGAGGCCCACGTGCGTGGAAGTAGGATAGAAATTTCCACGCACCTCCTCCACGTGCGCGGGAGGAGGCGAGACCATGATTAAGTGGCCGATCCACGCACTTGGATCGTGGCGTGGGAAGCAGCCCGGCGACTTCATAAGCAATTGGCAGAATTCACTTTTAGATAGTTTTCAGATTAGAACACTTTCTCTCTCTAGCATTTTAGGGTTCTAGTCTCTCATAGCTTGAAGATCTTGGAGAAGAAGATTGACAACCTTCCATCCAAGATTCATTGTAGAAGAAGACATCAATTTGCATTCTAGTTTGGTACAACCTAATTACTTTCCTAGTTTAATTGCTTTCTTACTTTGATTGCCATTTCAATTAGTTTGCAATGTTGATTCATCTAGCTATGTGTGGCTAGGCTTTTAATAGGATTAGGATTGTGAATCTCAATCATGATGCTAATGTGAGATACAATTCTTAATTAGGTTTTGATATTGCAATTGTATGAGTTGATTTTGCCATTGTTTATGAGTTGTGTTTTCATTGAATGTTTTGTATGCTTCTTGTGAAGTCCGGCCAACTCCTTGAGTTGATCTAGTCAAGTAATTAGGCAAGAGCTTGCTAGATCACTTGAAGCTCCATTTCTTTGGCATTTCCTAGTTCAAAATCTGGGAGGATGAAATTAGGAATGAAGCGTAGGCAAGATGTTCGTAGAAATGACTCTTAGGACTTGGTCACCTAAAGGTGTCCTAAACCTAAAGGAATCCTAGTATACCGAGAGTTGAACAGACTTGGCATAGCTTCACACGATTCTACTCTTGCAATATCCTATCCTATGTTAATGATCCTAAATGCATCATGAAGTAGATTAACAATCCTATCCTATTCTCTTTACATTTGATTTAGCTAAACGTTTGTATTGTTTGAATGCCACAACTCGATTTAATCATGTACAAATTCGTGACGAGGTACATGATTGGCAATAGGTCTCTTTCAACTTAATACCATTCGACTCTTCCAATTTGTCATCCCCAGAGAACGATAAAACTCGGGGTTCATCCCAAACATTTTGACGCCACGTAAAGCGGACGCAGTTTGTCAACGCTCAACACTGGAAAGACCGACCAGAAGGGTCGAGATAAGATGAGAAAGAGAAGAAGGAGAGAGAGAAGGATAAAGGGAGGAGAGTACAGCTCGGGGAGACTTCCCGCGCTCGGAGGGATCATCTTCCGCGCTCGCGGGGAGCGGGGTGGCGGGTTGTTAGCTGGCCCCAACGTCGACAACTCGGGATGACTCTGCTAGGTTCCTCGGGAATACGTCGATCTCCAGGATGGTTGAGTTGTCGGTAGAGACTGTGAAGGAGCCGATCTCAACCTCGTCATCGTAGTCTCGGCCCGAGACGTTTTGGTTGTTAGAGTTCGACATGTCTTCTCCTTAAATAGTAAAGGAAGACGTTTTAGTGCCAGAACCTGGGCAAGGCTACGTGCATACGTTTAAAAACAAAGGAGCTTTAATGAAAAGTTTAAACAGAAGAAGCTTGGGAAGAATACTTACTAGTTGAGTCGCGGTAGGTCGGGAAAGCGTGGGGGAACGAGAAATTCGCAAGTGCACTAGCTCGGGAAGCTTCGATCTTAGTTAGCGAAAGAAAGCATGGAATGGGACCCCCTAAAGTGCCATATTTATAGATGGTGGATGGGGGGAAACGTTTCAAATTTCAAAATTCGGCGCAAATCTCGAGTGCGCGGTAAGGGTCGACACGCGTTGATTGGCCCCTTGTGAGCAGTGATCAGTACCTGATTATGCACCCGCGTCGCACAAGATCTGTGCAGAGTGGCGTCTTCCGTTCGAGTCGTAGCCCGAACCCTTCCTCCCATACCGTCGTCAGGCTCCAGACTAGGGGGGGGCTACTTGATGGGGATTATACCCCAGTAATTGCGCCTATACGATGGTCGGTTACGGATCCTCTGTACAAGCTGAGTTTGAGCCGACCTTGCCCGTTCACTCCCCTAACTATATTGCCAATCGAGCCTTGCCAAAGGCAGCGTGCCTAGGTATTTTCATGATATTAACGCCAAGACCTATTCAGGTCGGGACAGACCGCCTACCCTAACCCTAGCAGTAGGGGGCCAAGCCTTCAGGGATAGCAGGGCACGTGGCCAAGCTCCCTTGGGCCACAACCTGACCCTAGGGGTGTTAGCGAACAGAGCTTTCGGTAAACTACTCGTGTTCATGTTCGGTAAGCGTTCGTTTATGTTCGTTTATTAAGGTAAACGAACATTAACAAACAAAATTTAGAGCTTGATTTGTAAATAAACATAGTTTGAATAGTTGTAAGCTCGTTTTATAAGAGATCGTGAAAAAGCTCGCTTGTGTTTGTTTAATAATGTTCGCCGAACAAGCTCATTTAGTGTTCATTTAATAATGTTCGCGAACAAGCTCGTTTGTGTTCGTTTAATATTTGTTTGTATTCTCTTTGTAGTTGTGTTACTTGTTTGGTTATTTTTTGTGAACATAGATTATTTCTTGTTCACGAACGAATTGTGATCATGAACATGTAATAGCATTCACGAACGTGTTTATGAACGTGAACGAATATGTTCGTGAACCTGTTTGTTAATGTTAATGAACACATTCGTGAAGGTGTTTGTGAACGTTAACAAACACTAATGAACGCTTAACAAATGAACACGAACAGGATTTTCAAAAACCTTAACAAATGAACACGAACACACCAAAATCCTTAAAAAACAAATACGAACAACCTCCGTTCGTTTATGTTCAGTTCGTTAACAGTCCTACCTGACCCCATGCATGTGTCCCATGTGCCGTTCATGCCGCACGATCGGAACCTGTTCCCTCTCGATCCCTATAAATATCGCATTTATTGAGAGAGAAGATTTTTGGCTACTTCTAGACACTATCCTTGAGCTCGGGTGTCACTGACCCACTGTCGAATATTCCAAGCTATAACACTTAAACCAACAAGTATACTAGGTGAAGGATCCAAACCCGGAACCAACCCTATAAACCGTATTCGTAGTTGATTGTATTTACTACATTAAATTCCTTATGTGACACCCTGAAGTCACATAATTCCTTATAATTCCTGAAATTTAATGGTTGGGGACTAGTAATTGACTAGTCAACCCCAAAGTCAAAGTTGTACATTGAGCTTTATAAGGAGTTCTCTTGTTCCTTACACTTCCTTATGTTAGTAAGGGTATTCTTGACCTTTCACTTGTTGTTGGAATTGTAACCTAACCTAGTAGACCACCTTCATTCTCTTCTTACACTTTTCTAAAAATCTAGCTCCACCTTCTCTCTAAAAAGGTGAGTAGCTTTTCTTCCAAGACAAGTTGAAGCTTTGCCAAAACTTCAAGAGTTGCTTCCAAGATTCAACCTTTCATATATTTGGGCATCTAGGAGGGTAAGATCTAAGTTCATCTTGTGTTTTTGGTTTCATCTAAGGTGTCTTTTCTTAAAGATAGGATCTTTATGATCTTTTGGTATGTTCTTGAAGTGGGTTTGGAAGGTGAGCCTTGAGAGGAGCTTGTTGAGGTGTAAAGTGAAGTCTTTAGTCTACAAGAGGTAACCCATGCTCTACAAAATCTATTTTGCTTACCTATATGTGATTTCTTGGATTCTACATGTGTTTTGCTATGAAATGTGAGTGTTTATGCATTGTCTTGTGAAAATGCATATCTAGAGCTTGTGTTTAGGGTTCATTTGTGCCATTGCTTGGCATTTCCTTTGATTCAAATCATTTTGTTGTATTTGGTGAGATTTGGCATGTTTTGGACTTGAATTTGAGTTTGGAGATGAAAATCCGCGAAGTGTTTTATTGTGGTACAGGGATGTACCCGCGGGCGGAACGGCGGGTAGGCGTCCAACCCGCCGCCCACCCGCGGGGTACACAGGTTGGGCAGCCTGTACCCGCGGGCGGAACCGCGGGTACGTATTGTGGTGATGGCGGAGATTTGTTCCCCGTGATTCTTTTGACTCGGTATTTGGTCTTTTGACTTCCCGTTGTTCTTTTGTGGAACTATTTGAGTGTCTTCTTGATGAAAGTATGTCTAGAACCATCTGGTAGGAATCCATGTAGGTTTTTGGTGTCTTGAATCGTGCTAAGTGTTCAACATTGTGTTTCGTTGAACCGTGATGAGTCTTGTGTGTTCTTCGGAACTACTTTTGGTTTACCCGTTTGTTAAGCTTGCTAGTTCGGTGTTTAAATGCTGGCATGTGTGTTGTTTGTACCTTCCTATTGGTTGATGATAACTTTTTTTATTCATCGTTGTTGTTGTTGGACTGTGATCCATTCCTTGATTGAGTATGGTTTCATATCTTCGTTGTGATCCGTTGATTGATTCCTGTTGTGGTGTAATGTGTGCGTGGTTTTACCTGGATTGCACGATTAGTGGTATGGGACACTAGTCACCAAGGTATTGCAGCGGTCCTCGTGGTGGCCGTGACATGATTATGGACTTGTGATCTTTGTGTAAGGTTCACGTGATTCTTGGGTGGCATGTGTTGCCGTGTGTGTGTACGGTACCCTCGTGTACTATGAAATTGGTGGTCTTGTTGGTGGTTTGTTGGTGGGGGACGACGGTCCCAGGAGGGAAAAGGTTGGACTAAGAAGTACAGGGGTCCTGGAGGTAATGGTTGGAAGAAGATACAAGGTTGGGGGTAGCCATAAGGTTGGAACCGGGCATAAGGAAGGCATATCAACTCGTGATGGGTGATGTCACGAGGGTTTGTGTAGCCGTGGTTGTGTGTTCTCTTCTTGTGACGTGTGTAGTCACAAAGGCAAGTGTTGCCATGGGTGAGTCTTTATTTTTTGCGTTGTGGTTATCCTTCTTATGATTTTGGGATGTGTTTCCGTATCCTTGTTGAGAGTGCCGAGTCTTGTGTTGACTATTGCTCTTGGTTTTGTACTTATATATATGTATTCCGTTTTGAAAATGATTTTACAACTTATATCTTATCTATGTATGATATTTCACATGTATTGGTGGGTTACCAGCATTATTCGCTGACCGGGCGTCGTCCCATGTTTTATTGTGCTCTTTCAGGTGATGTCTAGACGAGTGCGCGGTCTAGTGCTTGCTAGAATAGCTTCTCCCTCTTTGTTTTGTGGCCTGTGCGCCAGTTTAGATATAGCACTTTGAGACTATGGGTTTAGTTGTAAACATTGCAGATGTTGCCGTAGCGTTCATCCTTTTGGTGGAAGTGGCATAACACCCTGTGTTTCGGATTATGTTTATCTAGTTATCTTTCAGTCTTCCGCTGTGTTTGTTGTTTAACTCAGTTATCTGCATGTTTAAGGCTTTTAAATAGCTTGTTTTTAGGGGGTGTTACACCTTAAGTACCATAATTATATATATATATATATATATATATATATATATATATATATATATATATATATAAAATAAAAATGACCACAATAATTATGCGGAAGAAATTGCTGAACAATTAAGATTCAAACGATATTAATGAGTATTAATAAAAAAGACTTTGATGTTTCTCTACCAGAATGAGAATTTAGAGTTTTCGTACACCTTGTAATGTATTTAAAGTAGTAAAATTATTATTGATTACAACCAACAACATAACTAACAATTATAAAAATTACTTGACATAACATACAACTCAAAATCATGAACTTTTATTCGTGTCTATATAGACACTTGAGTCATGGATTATTGTAATAGAAAAAAAAAATAACATAAAGACTTCATAAGTAAAAATCACAAGACCACTCAAGTCTTGGACCTTTTTCTCTAACACAGTGATTGTCAACATTTGAGGGAGGTAAATTTGTTGAATCTTCTACCAGATTGCTAGATTCTCCAAAGGCAAGTTTCTTTTTAGTACCAGTAATTAATGAAGTTGATATCTCTTCACAAATAGACGCAACTGTGTAGGCCATTGTCATTCCTCCTGGGTCTTGGGCCTGACACCTAAGTTCAATTGCAAAAGTTGGTGTAGAAAGTTTTTTTTTTTTGGAGCTTTTGAAAATCAAAGCTATCATTTTCATTCCCTGTTTTTGTTAAGGAAAACAACTTATCCACATGACGATTAAATAGAGTAGCTTGAATTCTATTTGTCCCATCAAATAGCTCAACAATTAATCTATATTTGTAAAAAAAAAATTGCATCATGATCACTATGAGATATAATACTATAAGTACGTTGAAGAGTCATGATTTTACCTCTTGATATAAATTGTCTTTGCATGACCACAAAACATGCATCGGAATTTAATACCTTCATTAGAATTAATTTTATTATCACAATAGTTGCAACCAATGTAGTAGGTAGGATTTCCGTTGTCTATGAGTGTGATCTTTGATTTAAACCACACTGCTTTTTTGACTTGATTTTTTAACACATGCATGCAGAAAATAAACAAAATAAAAGTGAGTAAAAGAAGTTAAAAAGAAAATGTAAACAATTAAAGGGTGTGGCTTTAGTGGTAAACCTAATCAATGACTTCTTTAAATTTGAAATTGGTGATATTTGTTGACCAAGACGGTTTGCCAATTCACTTACAACATTGTTATGTGCTTTTTCAACAATCAATCTTTCAATAACCAAAGAATTAGTCTTCGCCCTATCAACAATATTGAACCATTTATCATGTTGAACAAATAGAATATTTGAATGACAAAAGATGAATTTAGGTTACCATTCTTTAAGAGCCCCAGCACATTTACCAAACAGATTCACTTTTACACCAAAGTCTATTCTTGTAGATAAGGAAATTCTTATTTAACATGTTAAATATACTTGATAAGGAAAATGTTCATGCTGCAAAAATACGAATTACAATTAATTGATAAGGAAAATGTTCATGCCGCAAAAATTTAGCCTTTCTAACAAGTACATTCAATACTTGATCATGTTATTGATACTCACTCTTTCATAATTAACTTATCGAAATGAATATTAAGTTTGCATACATACCTTGATATGGGGTGACAGTAATCTTTCTTCCAAGAACTACTGGATAATCTCCTGATTGGAGTTCTTTGTCAATTTCAACACCTTGATATAAATGTTCAAAGTTAAATAGTTTGAAAAACATACTCTTCATCAACCATAAAAAAATCATTAGCGTTTTGTTGTCCTGTCCTGTTGGGGCTGTTGGTGACAATAAATTCTCTTGGTAGTTTAGAAATCACAACTCTAATGATATCTACAAATAATATTACAATTATTAGATTGACACAATATGTTCTAAATATAAATAATTGTTCACAAATAAAAAAACACATGGAAAGAATCTAAACTCGCTGATTGCTTGTCTTTTAGATTTGTACACATATAATTGTTCGAATGATTTTGTTTCCATGTCAGAAGAAGGTTGTAAATCCAATTGGTCATCATCATCGACATCTTGTATAAGAGTTTTCCTATTAATTGACCAAACAAACCTATATCACTCATCTAGGACATTGAAAAATTCATTAGCACGAGAGACAAATGCATTAGAGATAATATATGTGGAGTATAACTTGAGCATTTCATCAAGCAGTTCAATATCATTCTGGTAAGTCATTCATTGAACTTTGTTTCCCTATAATAATTTCAAAGTAGATGTCAATAATTAATATAAAATATAACAAATATTCATAATCCTAACCAATGCATTATTATTATGTTCAAAATTCGGGAATAATAAAAGGAGTACCGCTTCATCTTGCAATATTATAGGTTTGTACAATGTTCCATGTCTGGTCTTTGACTCTCTTGTATTCAACTTTTCAATAACACAAACTTTGCAACTCGATTGATTTATCTCTGTTGTGATTTGATGGATTAAAAGGAGTTTTTCCATCACTGAAAATTTTACAAAAAATAAATATTATGGAAATACAGTATACACATTTTCAAGAATATTAATTGGCTTGCTTTAAAACTATGATCATACTACTAATACTTATTGAATGGAAAAATATATATATGAGGATTTGGATGTAAAAAAATACCTTTGAATTGATTACTTATTTTTTTTTTCTCAAAAGGAATAGTAAGTGTAGCCAAAGTGATTGTGCGAATATTTTTATGGAAATACATCGTACACATATAATAAGCAAAAAATAATATCCATGGTGGCTTGAAGGTTTAGAAATTAATTTATTATTATTATTATTATTTTTTTTACTGAAAATTCTCTACCAAAGAAACGTAATTTGAAACGAGAAAACATGTCGAAAAAGATAAAATCAAAATAAAACAATCATAGATAGAACCAATGGTGTTTGAACCCTGTTTGTTTGCTACTGCGCTAATGAAACTTCTTCATCAACCTTCAGTGATCCTGATAGTTATAGCAATGGTATTCCGCCTTCCCTTTTTGTTATCTCTCTACTCTTTCACACCTCATTATAAAACATTTCATTAATTTCTATATACTACTGTCATTCTAGATTTCTTCCATTAAACAGCAATGGAACAAAAGGTAATTTAAACTCGTATGACTGTTCATCAGATTAGAATTTACCAAACAACATGAAGGTCGACATCACATTTAATTTGCAATGGTCAGCCCA